TTCTAAGACCAAACATATAGATACCAAGTATAACTACGTGAAAGACATGATTACATAAAAAAAGTTAACATGTAGTACATTTTTATGTATAAGGTGATTGTAGATCCATTTACTAAGCTCATACCTAGAAATGTGATTAATAACTGCATAAGATCTCTAAAATTATGTAGATGTTGATATATATGTATTGATTGAACAGTTTTATATTAATGATATATGATATTTTTCCATTTGAGTTGACTTATATTGAATACAATTAATGCTGTTAAAGTTTAGTACTTTATTTTATGATGCATGCATACATGTATATGTATATGTACATATACTATAGATTTGAAAGGTATGTTAGACAAATGATTGGCTTTCTCGTATAGACAATCACCTCAATGGTTTGGTATCATAGATATGAGACTAGTTAAAGTTATGGATCGAGAGCCCAAGTTTATAATCGAATCACTTTGATAAGAGATTAAGATAAGGTCACTTGATATTGAGATTTATGACTGAAAATATATATATGTACCTATACAATATGATTTAAAAATATGTCAAACATTCGATTGGCCTTCTCACATAAGCAATTGCCTCAATGGTTTGGTACCATAGAGATGAGACTAGTTAAAGTTATGGATCGAGAGTCCAAACTTAAAATGAAATTACCTTAATAAAGGATTAAGATGAGGTCACTCAATATTGAGATTTGTGATCGAAAGTGAATAACCCACAATTCACTTTGTTTGTCTTAATATGCCATGTAGAAGTCTTGTTGATTATATGAAATCAAGTTGAGTTATAGACTCAAGTTAGATACTATAAGTATTTGAATTATCACATGTACGAATTGATATATGAATGATGAAAGATATACATTTCTCGAGAAAAAAAGTAATATCATTGCATGTGTTTTATACCACATGTGCATTATTCAACTAACAAGTAAATTTTTGCTTCTTATTGTGTGAGACCTTTGAGAATAGAGGTTCTCATATTATGTACCCTTAAGGACTTTTGATTGTTTCTTAAAGTTTCAATTCAATATTAGCTATCTTGGATTGTTACCAATAGATAGGATATATCTGGATAATAGTTGAATCGAAATAAAGAGATTTAAGAAAAAATGAAGATTATTCTGGTGTCACATTTAGTTGTATTCATAGGTCGACCAATTATGTTTGACACATCAAAAATAATTATGAATACACAAGTATACCATAAAATATTGTTAAAGAGAGATCGTAAGAAACTTAAAATGTAATTGAATGGATGTAGGGTCTTACATACTTACTCTACTTGTACTTAAGAGTTACTATACATACCTAATAGTTGTATAAGTGAATAGATGTGATTATAAGTTGTTATATACACCTAACAGTTGATAGAAACTAAGCTCTTGAAGTATGTTGGTCGTACAGCTTATTTCCTTTTATGAACTCGATGCAAAGAAATGAGAAAATATTCTTGAGATCATAAGAGTTTGACACCCATCTGTGTAAATGAGAGATGAAAGAAATTAGAGATCTGCCTATAACGAGTAACTGCCATTAGGCAATTTATTTCTTTATATAAAAAATTGCCTTAAGCAGTTTATAAAGACTTAAAAGTTAAAGAAACTGCCACCCTTTATCTCCTAATATAATGGCATTCGGCCATTAAGAAAAAAATGAGAAAGTCTTTTTTTTATACACAACAAAAGGAAAAAAAATGAGAAAAATGAGAAAACACAATCTAGTAGGTATTATACAACTCTTAAGAGGAATTCTTGGTTCGGTGTTTTAAAAGACTTACACTATAGAAATAAACAATTTTCATATTGTGATCTTATTCAACGACTAGTAATTCAAGTCAAGATTTTGTTTCTATTTCCGCTAAACAAGTAAGTATATACGGTAATGTTCGTATATATATATATATTGCATGTACTTTATCTTTCATAATTTTCAACCAAACAATCACATTTGAATATGTTATTATTATACAACCAATGTAATGTCAAGCAGCTAGAATTCAAGATTCTGTTTTAAAAGTTTTGGGTTTGAAAAATACAAATGAGAAGATTGACTCATTCAAAAATTTATCCAACTCATTCGATTCAATCCAATTTAATTAAAAAAATTAATAATTTAAACCCAACAATCCTCACTTGAAATAGTTCGAACTTGAGCAATCAAAAAGTTAATTTGAAACGATTCAAAATTAAATTGATTTAATTTTAAAATTTAATAATTTGAAATTAAATTGACTTAAATCTAAATAATCTCTATATTAAATCTGAATTATTCAAACTTGAACCCTACTACATTTATTTGGATTCAAATCGATCCAAGCTGAAGTTAGTCAATCAACCTATCTAATTGCTACTTTTAGGCAGAATATGATTTATGAGAATGCGAAGGGTTGCCTTCCTTTCTTTAACCCCATATCACTTGTGTACGAGTGCATCACAAAATTTGAAATTTAAACATTTTTTACACATTAAGCAATAGGTGAACAATAAACCTCGAGTTAAGAATTAATCATGTTTCATTTTTTTAACTTAAAAAAAACAAAGATTGAATCATAATTATTAGAATTTAAAATCTAATAATATTTTATTGGCAGTTTACATAACTATTGACATGAGTCCAAATTTAATCAATAATATGAAATAACAACATAATTTTCTAATTAACAAATGAAACAAATGAAGTACCATTTGGGCAAACATATAATAGGTAACAAGCAACAAGAATAACAAGCAATATAATAACAAATATGGAATCTATGATTACCTTTGTGTAGCATTCAATTTATTAAATAAGTAGAAGTTCAACAAATAAAAAAAAAAAACAATATTCATCAATGTAAGATTATGCTACTCAACAAACACATCAAATTAGATGGACCATATATGTGTAAAAAGAGATTTTTTTTTTCTTGTTATATTGAACAGAAAACCGATATTGCCACTAACAAATTAATAAATTAAAGACCATGAACACAAAACAAATAGTTCCCCAGATTTTTTACAACAGAAACTTGTTGAATATGGTCCTTTTTGTTTGTTTATCAAGTCTGAAAACATGCCTCGAGGTAATAGCTAACACTAGTAATTAATTCCATAATCAATGTCAACCACATTAAGTTTACCTTTGAGCAAGTTGGCAGTTTCTGAATTTGGAATAGCCACATCTAGCAACAGGTTGCACTTAAAAAATATTGTCATATTAGTTTTAGAGTTTAATTAAATTGATTTATATAATCGTCTTTAAGATGTGACATTTAATAAATTTAAAACTCAAATCTCAGTATTTGCAACTCTTTTTCTTATTCTCAAGTTGTAATTTCTTTTGTAAAAATAAAAAATAACAAAATATATGTTAAATTGAATTCAAAGCTAACTTAGTTAAATCATGTAATAACTTTTAAAATATGACATTCAGTAAGATTAAGATTCAAATTTAAATACTTGTAATCTTTTTTCTTATTTTCTAACCTCTTTTGTAAAAACATTTTTAAAAAAAATTGTCAGGTTAGATGAAAGTATTTTAAAAAAATTGAAGTTGTCAAAAACAAGACTACACTTAAAGTGTGAAGGGTTTGAGCATTTATGTTGTTTTGTCCATTAACTAGGAGGTGGTTTGGATTCTCATGCAAATAATATAATCCCACCAGCTTTGTTTAAGGGTATGAAACGATTTCTTTTATATAAGTTCTACCTATCTGAATGCTTTCTAAATTGCTATTATTATTATTAAATAAAGCTGAGTTAGGTTGGATGTTACTGCCCCTTTGACTTGAACAAATCTCTCAAATATTCATATTTTATCAGTAAACAAAATAACATATATAGTAATGCAAAAAAGTCCACTACAATTATGCTTATTGAATCAATCAGTATAAGCGACAAAGGTGTGATCTCTGAATAAATGTTGTCAAACCGACATTTTAATATGTGTTTCTATAGATGAAAAGATTTCTGATAATAATATATAGCAGTATATATATATAATAAGGGAAAAAAATAATGCGAATGGGATGTTTATGTCTGCACCTAATCACTTTCCTTTTCATACAAAGCAGTATAATTAATAAAATAATACAAGTGTTTTGTGTAGAAATTCAAACTTTTTGTTGAAAATATATAACAATTTCATTATCATGACTTATGAGCTGGGAAAAAAATATATATATATATATATAAACAAACTAACATATTTGAAACTGTATATAAGTCTTTAAATGTGTTTAAAACTAATTGAAATAAAGACAATCAACATATACAAACATACATTAATTGATTAATTAATGAAGCCGAACTACATAAACATCAGACCTTAATTAATTTTCTAAAAATGGAGAGATGTTTGGTTATAATTGATTCCATTGAATTACGATGACTTGGTTTTGGGTGTAATTCATGACATCCATTGTTACTCAACAAATACTTCATTATGTAAACCAAACTTGGTGTGTATTCTTGACTATATATATCCATCAACGATGGTAAGGAACCAAGAAAAAACATATATAGGAATTAGCCTTTTTATTAATTAACAAAAGAACACCACATTAAATTAACTGGTTGAGCTCATCATTCAAATTAATCTGTAATTAATTACAAAACATAGATTAAGTTAATTAGTTGAAACTTCCATGTGGCTCATGAAGTTATATTTTTATCATATGTATACACCTACATACTTAGTGCAAACTTTATTTCAAATTAATGGAAAGATACTGAGTAAAACCCTCGTTAAAATTTTGATTCACCGAACAAATTAAAAATATAAATGACAAGTTGAATCTTTTATAGTGTACTCCAACAAATTTCTTACACAGTCATACTTTTTCTCCATCGTCCCTCAACCAAGGCTTAGCAGTCAACTTTTGTTTATTTATTTACTTTTAATTATTATGATCCTCATAATCATAGAAAGAGAATCAATTAAGTGAAGAAGATTTATAGTTTGAAATTTTATAGTATAAAAGAGAACAAAGGAATAATCAATCTTCTCAACGACTTTCAATATTACAATTTCATCTCTAGGCACAGTGAGTGAAAACCTTCGGAATAATTGCATTTGCACAACAAAAAGAACTGGATTCCCAAATTTCATACAAGGACTAACCCCATCGCCTCCACTAATGCTTACGCTTCCCATATTTTGGGGTATCAAAAAGATTAAATAAAAAGAGAGAGAGAGAGAGAGAGAGAGAAGAGAATTAATATTGCAATTAGATGAAGAAGAATATGCAGGAACTCCAGCTAGTCAGAGATAATGCTCTAAGTAAGCCAGACTTGTAACTAATTAGTTCATTTATATATTAATTCCAGGAGAGGGATAGATCACTATAGAGTTTCATGGAGCCTGCCTGCGGGTGAAGGAAGAAACTAAATCTTCTAAAAAGCCATAATCAGGAACTTGAAGCTGCTGCTGCTGCTGGTGAGAGGCAAGGGTTTGATAGTGCATAGAGTTTGTGTCTCCTGCTGGATTGCTTGTTGATGGAAGGAAATGACTTAGGAATTCGTGAGGGAAGCTGGGATTCATTGATGCTGATGATGTCAGAATTGAAGTTGAAAGCATCCCAACTCCACTGCCTCGAAGAGTTGCCGGAATGTGATGATTATGCTGTCCTTCATATGTTGTGATCACCACTGAGGGATCTTGAAAAGATCTTTCAATACGCTTCTTAACACCACATTTTTGGGTGGTGCATCTGTAATAACTTCTGCAGTGAGCAAGTGATCAAAAATCAAGATTGTGAGATCACAATGCTACTTGCAATATAGAGTTTTAACTTGTTCAATTGCTATAAATCATTGCACTGTGGAGACTTGCATCCAACATATAAGTTATTATCCGTTTTTATCTAAAGGTCTTACTATTTTTATTTCATAAAAAATACCTTATAAGTATAGATTTAAGTCTTTATTTATATATTATATCATATATTCACATTTTTCCTATGTAAAATTGGGGCATCATATGCGCATCAATGAAGTGGTTATAATAGATAACCTTCAACTTTTGCAAATGCATGGTATCTTTTTTATCAAAAAAATTTCACTAGAATTTTCCAAATTTGTACTAAACTCACCTGCGTCGCAAACAATAACATATGAATGATGAAAATAGGAGTACTTCTACTGCAATAACACATTGATTCAATCAAGTAAGTGCAGATTAAATTTGAATAGATATGGACTAATAAAACCACCTTGGATAAGGGCTGTTCTTGACCGCCTTCTGTCCATACTTCCTCCATCTGTATCCATCTTCAAGATGATCAATCTCACTCTTGGTGAGGAAGGCAAACCTTGGCTCTCTTTGCTGTTTCTCCTTTTTTGCTTTGTTCCTGAAAATTGAATACACAAATTAAACCTTTCAAGATCAATTGGTTTCAAACAAGAATTACTAATAATTTTGTCCTTGAAAATGTCTATCATATATTAGGGTTTTTGTAGCTTTCTCATCTCTACAGAAAGCCAGAGAAAACAATACTATTAATAGTCTAAGAGTTTGAAGAAGAAACTGATCAAAAGAAATACTATGGAATTAAGTAAAACCATGTACTATTCCTTTCAAAGACTCTGAAAGTCTACTTTTATTATTATTACTTTTTTTTAAGAGAAAAAATGATAGCAGCTAGATAGTACTAAACTTATTAATCCACAAACCAGAGAAGTAGAAAAAGTCCCGAAACCTCTCAACCTTTACCATGAATCAAAAACCAATTAACAAGAGCTAAGACAGAAAAACTACACTTTCTTTGACTTGTCATCTCCATGATCTTCAGCCCCTTTTGGTTGCTTATCTTTCTTGGTCTTGCTTGAATCTTCATCAGCTGCTCCCTCGTTTGAAGAAGAAGACGCTGGGGAATTTGGTGCGGATGGGTTTTCAGTAATATTATTATTATTATCATTATCTGCAGTGGTGCTGATTTTCTTGGAGTTGGTACTGTCATCGATGGGACTAACAACATCAGATGAAGAACATGACATGTCGAAGGCTCTTGAAAAGGAGTTGTAGTCGACTGCAGAGCCATGTAAGCAGTCAGTGAAGCTTGTGTAAGAAGGATCAAAGCCCTGAAAATTTTGTCTTCTTGTTGGTGTTGGAGCAGCTGCTGCAGCTTGGTTGTAAATAAAAGGATTATTGTAATTGTCAAAGAATGGAAAGGTTGATCGGCTGAATCCTTGGAAAGGATCATAATCATATTGTGGATCTTTCTTTTCATTTGACGACATTTAGAATTGATAAGGATAACAAGAATGAAGAAATTAAGGAAGAGACAAGATTGAAGAAAAAGAGGAGGAAGAGGAAGAAAGGGTAAAACTATACTGAAAAGGTTTGAATGAGAGAGAAAAGCAAAAGGGCGTTTGAATAAGATACTTTTGTTTGGTTTTATAAGAAAGAGGGTGTGGCGTTGGAATTTTTTGTTGATTATGAGAGGGAGAGAGAGTGTGCTGTGATGGACTAGGCAGGGGGTTTGGCTATTCTCCACTCCTTATATTTTAGTCTTTACTGTTCTTTAGTTAATGGCAACAGGTTTTTTAGACTTCTTTTTATGATGTATTTTACCAGTATATATATATATATATATATATATATTAGTATCAAGTAAAATAATAATAATTTATATATTTATATTATATTTTACAAAAAAATTATATATTATAATTTAATATGAAAATATAAATATATATCTTTTATTTTATTAAATTCATATATGATTTTTATTTAAATTTTAAATAGTATCATTTTCAATTTTTTCGTATCATTTTTATGTTGTATTTTAATTTGTTATATTTACTCGATATATTACTTTTTTAAATCGATTCAAATAGATATATTTATACCAAGATTAGTGAATTTATGAGAAATTATTTTCTTATAATCTTCATATTAAAATTTTAAATTATATTATTTTTATTTTTTTATATAATTTTTATGTTATATTTTAAATTATCAAGTTTATTTGATATATTTTTTTCTAAATCAATTAAAATAACTTTATCTAGATTGAACTTAGCAAATTCATAAAAAAATTATATTTTTATGAATTCGAACTCAAATAACAAATAGAGAAATAATTTTAATCTTCACTTTAAAATCTAATTTTTAACCATCTTTTCGTGATGACTTTAAGCTCCAAGGAAATAACTGAGTTATATTGCTTCTTTAGAATACTTTTGTCAAATTTATCAGCCTCCTAATACACACGTATACATGTACAAACATTTACTTTCTCTTATAATTATTTTTATTTTTTTCATAATTGCATTAAAAAATAATATATGTTAATTAAATTAGGGTGTTGATAATAAGGATACCTATTCTTAGTCTTACCATAATTAAAATTTTTAGACTATTCAAAAATTACCGATCTTTATTATAATATTGGAGTTGTGCGATTATGACAATTGAAACATTTAATTAATAAGTACGAAATCTCATTCCAAAGTTAAATGCGTTTGACATCTGCTATTTTTTTTTTCCAGGATTTGGGCCTAGCTGTTTAATCAACATTAGATGTATGTATATTTTTACTCAAAAAAATTATATCAATTCTGTCGTTTTTTTTTTTTTTTTGACAATATTATATACACTAGGACAAATACATATAAATGTATACACAACTTATTTCTGATGTTATTTTTTAAAAAATTAAAAGAATAAGATGATTTATTTTATTAGATTATAAAAGTTGATATGGAAACTAATAGTCACATAATTTGTTGGTAGAGAAATGAAATTTTAGATAACATTTGGTTTAAAAATAGAATCAATTTTTTATTTTATTTTTTTGAGAAATAAAAAATATGAGTGAAAACATGTCTGGTAATTGAAAATGAAAATAAATTTTTAGAAATAAAAATAAGTTGAAATATGAAAACAAAAAAATATTTTTAATTGTAAAAATAAAGGATATGCACTACTTTTTTTCCTTATATTTTTGCAAATTATCATATTTAAACACTTTTTAATGTCATTAAATAATAAATATATATCATATTAAAATTAGATGCAATTACCTATCTACTCAGTTAATAAAGTCAGTCCTTATGCCCATTCCCATCAAGTCAATATACCTAACAACTCTCACTAACATCCTATCAAGGTATCACTTTACAATTGACTTCCAACTTGCACCAACCAGTCTCCAACTTACACAAGATCATAGAGTATAGCTCACATTCAACAATAAATAACTCTAGTCACACCCCAGCTTTTCCAAAGACATATAAGGTAAGAGGAGGCCCAAGTATAGAGATTTTAAACCTTTCTATTTGAAGTCTTTTCAGTATTCTTTGCAATTCTTCTTCTTCCTCTTAAACATCCTGAGCACTTGATTGACTTAAGTGGTAAAGCACATTTTTGATGACCAATTCCAACATCCTTTAGTTGTGTTTTTTTGCTACAAGTGCAACTCATTCCTCACATGACCTCCAAATCATCTCTCCACCTACCAACACACAAATTACCATCAACAATTGGCACTATTTATAGGAAACGATAGCCATGTCTCACCCCCATTCTTCGAAAATAACCCCAGCCATGTATATGGCTACCTAACTTGAACTCACTTTCAAAGTTATGGCCATGCTTTCAATTCTCCTGAGTCATCGAACCTCTTTCCATGGACACCAAGGTATGATACCACCTTTTTGTTTCCTAGTAACCTTATGTCATTAAATACCTAGACCTCACAACCAATAAGTTATTACCAGAACCTAATGAGAGTTTCATCTCAAGTATGACCCTAACTCCTCATTTAGTCTATACCATCATTACTAGACCCTCAAACCCAACTTCACAGCAATCCTCACAACAAATACAATCTTCACAACCAATAAATGCAACTTATTGGCAAAACATTCCACCTACCACTTCCACATTGCAAGTTACATTTCTAGCTCCACAAATCCTTGTGTACCAAATAAATATACAACAACCTCCCCTAAAGCTTTACGAAGTACTAAGACCTAGATCTAACTTTCAAATGCTTAAGTGGCCATTCAGCAAAGATTACTCTAACACTACCAATAAGCCACGCAACAACCACCACAAGGAAAACACCACCTTAAAGAAAAGCTCTACCTTATTCTTTTGAGAGCCATAATAAGTTTCTCCCTAGCATGATGAATGCTACCCCATAACCACCGAGGTAATACTTACCCTTCTGAGCTTACAACCAAAACCACACCCTCACCAACACAAACCCTGATAATGAACTCATAGCGCAAATCGTGACTCTCTACAAAGAACTAGCAAACATTAAAAAAGAAAAGAATAAAGACTTATAATGGTTAAAGAATTATCATAACCCTTTATTGATCCTTATCAGACAAGTCGACATCCCCACTTCACTAAAACTCCCCAAAGAAACCTATAATGGAATTACCAATCCTAAGACTATTTGGATCATTTTAAGACCTTTATGGATATTTATAAAGTCGTAAATGCAGTCAAGTGTAGAGTTTTTCCTATAATGCTAGGATAAAGCTTGCACCTGGCTTTACTTGATGGCCTCTATGACTATCGATAGCTTTGACACACTCAATTGACAATTTTTAGCCCACCTCATCAGTAATAGAGCTACAGTATGCTCTTCTGCAAGCTTACTAGCTGTAAGGTAAAAACCTAATGATTTTTATAGTAATACCTCAAAAAGTTTAACACAACAATCTTGGAGATCAAAGATTTAAACATAAAGTGGGCCATTCAGGCATTTACTTTTGGAATGAGACATTATCACCTTAATTATTCTCTTACTGAAAATAAACTTGAACAACTATATCAACTCTATGATAGAGCCTAGAAGTTCTCAAAGTAGTAGATAGAGTTGATAGGCCTAAACAATGCCCTATACATTTGTAAAGTGGTAGTAGGCAAATAGAAACCCTCAATTAACAATTCCATGATAGTCATCAACTTCAAAATTAGCCTTTTTAGAGGAAGAGAATGGCAACTTATTTATAACTAAAACTTCTAGCAAAAAACCAGTTATTGCAAAACCATAAACCAAACCTTGAATGCCATTAACCAACAACCTACCCCTAAATCCAACCAAAGATCCACTAGGCAAAGTCAACACCTAAAAGCCCAAATGGCCAATCCCCTACAAAACGGCATTGTAACTACCATTCGATAAGGCACACTTCACTAATGAGTGTATAACCTTTCAGAAAGAGATTGAAAAACTAAAGAGCCTAATCAATAATCAATTTGTTTACCACATTGAGCACTATGATAATTTGCTAACTTGCTAACAAAGAGGCGTGCTTGCTTACTAGTAGAGCCAAGATTCATTAAAATAAATGAAAGAGACCCGTCAAACGAAGATAGCGAGCAAGTGACCTATTCAGGGGATAATTCACGTCATTGTAGGTGTAACAAAAAATTAGACGAATAGTAAATCCAAGCGTAAGTCACACTTATGCAATGTTATGACTATAGACATAAACCTTTAAAAAGTTAAAGCCAGATGAGTGACAAGTGACATTTTTTGAAAATGACACTAACATCTTGGTGGATAATGGTAATAATCTCATTGTAATCTTAATAACTATAGCCAACTTTTAAGTGCAAAAAAATTTGGTCAATAGTGGGAGTCTTGTAGACCTAATTCAATATCAGACTTTTAGGCAAATGAGATTTTTGAATGATAAACTACGGCCATCAAGGCCTATATTCAACTTCGTGAATCAATTTATAGCAATAAAGCACCATAGGAAATGGGGAGCACACCCTTACTTTGATGATAAATTTTTTCATTATTGATAACTCTCGACATATAATGTTATTTTTGGCAAACCATTGATAAAAAAGATGAAAATGATAACTGCCATCTACTGTCTTAACGTAAATGTTCCCATGCCCATAAAAACAAGGTTCACGCAAACTAATTAAGTAATTGCTCGCTAATACGATTTACTGTCCTTACAGCTAACATAAAGGTCAAAAATAGGTGAAAAAGTATCCCTAGATTTCCTAGCAGCCTTTGCGTAACAAATTAAGGGGCAACCTTCATCTTCTCTATTGATACATATTTTCAACCTTGCCTTAGCACAAACCTTTAGTATTGATAGTTTGGACACTCATGACAAGATAAAATAGTGTAAAGAAAGCTAATAGGAACTTGTGGATATGTGTAAACTTCATATATTTGAATAAAACTTACCCAAAAGATAGCTTTCCTTTACCTTTTATTGATAAATTAGTTGATTGCTTTATGAGTCACAAATATTTGAGTTTCATGGATGGCTTTTAAGGTTACAATCAAATTAAGTTGGCTAGGTCAAACCATAAAAAAACTTTTTTTACCATTAAAGATGGTTTATTCTATTATACA